CACAGACAACTCAAAGAACTGGGAAAATGAACAGCAGACCCTAATCTTATCTAAAGGAGTATTGACAACTGATTGCTGCTAGAAGAGGAACAGCTGAGCCTCCTAAAATAAAGACCTCTAGATAGGCTGACTAGATTCACCAGATGGACAAGTAGTGGGGAATGGCTGGGGGTGCCGACAACATAGCAGACAGTAGCAGGGATATCAGAGTATAAGGGCTCTATGGGGGAAGGGAGGCTATGGGAGGGTGCCAACTGGTAAGTGGGTATATAGTTGAATAAGATGGTTTGGGATGTTCTGTGTGATACACACATGCACACACACACACAAATCAACAAATTTGAAAAAATGTATTATATTTGAGGAGAAAGCACACAAATTTACGTCATGTAAATTAGTAGAGGTGATAAACATTACCATTGAAATCTACCCGACGACTTTATAGACATACACAGGCGCCAAGGATTCAAGTGCAACCAATTATGGCTAGTAATAGATACATACAGATTAGAGATGTGTGCATCAACATCTCAGTGTTAGTAGCCAAAACAATGAGTCTTTCAAGAAGGAACAATATATTCTAAAATGAAATGGAGATCTTTCTTAAAGGTTAAAAACTCATTCAATTTTATGTCTTACAGGGCTTATACTGAGTTCAATATTGTATAACTATATTAATTCAACTGTGAACCTAGAAACTTACAGCCACTTGTGAAAGAGATGTACTCTTGCTCTGGGGTGTGTTACTGAATATGTTAAAGCTGTTAGGAAATGCTTCTTCTAATCACATAGTTATTAAAATTTTTTTAAAAATCAGATATATAGAGATTAAAAACACATGTGCAAACATCTTAGTGTCAATTGCATTAAAAATGGATTTTTCTGTATGAAACTGTATTTTAATAAGGAAATAGAAATCTTTTTTAAACATTAAACCTCATTTAATTTTATGTCTTATAGGGTTTATACTGAGTACAACATTGTATAAGTATACTAATTCAACTGTAAACCTAAAAATTACAGCCAGTTTTGAATGAGATGCATCTTAGCTCTGGAAATTGTTATTGAATATGCCAATGCTGTTGTAATGAAATGCTTCTTCTAATAATGTGGTTATTAAATTTAAAAAAAGTAAACAAGTAAGGTAACCAAGCTTCCTAAGCTGCCACAGAAGAATATCAACCATGCAGGAGGGGCCAGGAGAGATGACTCAGTGGTTAGCCCTTGCTCCCATGCAGAGCTCCCTGGTTCGGTTCCCAGCATCCACATGGCAGCTAACAATAGTTCTTAACTCCAAGTCCAGGGGATCCAACATTCTCTTCTGGCCTCTGCAGGCATTGCAAGTACACTTACAATCAGGCATAACACTCAGACACATAAAATGTAAAAGTTTTAAAACAGTGAAAAATAAATTAGGAGGATCATGAGCTTGAGGCAGATCTTGGCTATATGTCAAGACCCTGGAGGGAGTGAGAGAGGGAAGGAGGGGGAAAGAGAGGAATAGAGGCAAGGAAGAGTACAAGAGGTTGTAGCTGCTTTCTTTTTTTAATTTTTTTTTTTTTTTAATGTGTATGCATGTGTTGCCTGCATGTAGGTAAGTGCACCCGTGTCGTGCAATGCCTGTGGAGGTCAGAAGAGGCTGTCAGATCCCCTGGGACTAGAGTTACGGACAGTTGCTAGCTGCCGTGTGGGTGCTGGGATTCGAACCTGGGTCTTCTGCAAGAACAACCCATGTTCTTAACTGCTCAGCCATCAGCCATCTCTCCAGCCCCTGTAGACACTTTTTGAACAAGTCCAAAACAAACATCCTTGTCTGTGGGGCTAATTTTGGTTAAGTGATTTACTCAGTGTGATTTACTTAATGAATTAAAAACAAGTATACAACACTGACTCTCCTTCTGAAGAATAGTGCTAATAGGCAAATGTGCTAGAACTTTAAAACCTTGGAAAGGGTCTGTATTCTAAGAAATTCTGGCTTTATAATTATTTTCAAGACTGCCATATTTACTAAGCTTTAACAGCTTAATAGTGGGCTATATTTCTATTTTTTCAAATATTTTATTTATCATTTTTATTTTTTTCTTTTTAAAAATAACAGGCCCAAGAATGCTAATGTATACTTTAAAAATATGATCAAAATGAAACAGAATTACGTTCTCACATAATTATTCAGGATCACCTTTTCTCCAATGTTGTCACTTGAGTGAGACTTATTTCTTTTACAAGATTTCTCCAATCTCTTTAGACCATCCGGACTCCTATATCTCTGAATGTTTTTATGCTTACTGCATTAACTGCCTTTTTATGTTAATAGGTACTGTTTTCTTAAAAGGCTGTCCATTGGCTTTTCCAGTTTAAGTCTTAGACTTCTAACAGATTATAGGTTACCAGGGAATAAAACCAAAAATACTCTTCTCATCTTTATAATACAAAGCCCATTCCTTCAACAAATAGTTATCTAGCTTCCATGATGCACCAAACATATGTCACAACCTGGAGATACAGAGTGAGAAACAAAGACAGATGCTACAAACCCTAATGGAAATTAGACTTTAAAGTACAAGTGATATCAATCAAATAAAAGGAATGTAAAGTAGCAAGTATAAGTTCTGTAAAGAAGAGATAAGTAGTGCTATGGCAGCCTATAAATGCAAAGTTCAGGGGCTGGAGAGATGGCTCAGTGGTTAAGAACACTGGTTGTTCTTGTAGAAGACCCGGGTTTGAATCCCAGCATCCACATGGCAGCTAACGACTGTCTGTAACTCCAGTCCCAGGGGATCCGACAGCCTCTTCTGACCTCTGCAGGCACTGCACGCACAGGCGCACTTACCTATATGCAGGCAATACATGCATACATATAAAATTAAAAAATAGTATTAAAAAAAAATAAATGCAAAGTTCAGAGAGCAGGGCTAGGATGTAACTCAGTGTTTGCCTAAGCATATGAAAGACCCTATATTTGAATCCTAGCACTAAAAAAGAAGAGAAAGAAAAAAAGGAAGGAAGGAAGGAAGGAAGGAAGGAAGGAAGGAAGGAAGGAAGGAAGGAAGGAAGGAAGGATTACTACCAAGAAAGATAAGATGCAAAGTGTAAGCAGGTGTTTACTACACTGCAGACAGAAGGATTAGCCAGCATGCACACAGGTTTTGAGGCAACAGGAAGCACATTGACTTCCAGAGCTGGAGAAGATCAGTGTGACTGAAGCAGTATGAAAGCATGAAGACTAGACAGTAACCCATTCTTACCTTTGTTAACAGTTCTCTGTTTATTTTGAAATTTAGAGTCCCTGGACCAGCGCTGATTGCACTCACCACAGCATCACATTTAAGCTGAAAACAATAAGAAATCATGTTTATAAATTACAGAACAGGTCTTTTGGTGGCTAATCTTGATTGTGAACCTGACACATCTGAGAAGATAGAAGAGAGGAATTTTCTCCATCAGATTGGCCTGACGTGACTGCTAATTGATGTAGGAGGGCCCAGCCCACTGGATTTGGTGGCATTCCTAGGCAGGTGGGCCTGAGCTGTATAAGAAAGGTAACTGGGCAGGCTAGGGGAAGCAGTCAGTCAACAGTGTTCCTCTGTGGTCTCTGCTTTCTAGCCAGAGTTTCTGATTTAGCTGTGCTTGATGATGGACTGTAACCTGTAAGCCAAATAAACTATTTCCTCCCGAAGTTGGTTTTGGTCAGTGTTTTATCAGAAAAACAGAAAGCAAACTAGGACAAGGTCTAATGAGGTAATTCTAATACTATGAAACTGACTTACAAAGATAGCATGTGAATCATCTCTCAGTTATTACAGATGGACTTGTGCCTCAGTCAATGTCTTGCCTTCAATCATCCAATTTAAATAAACATATTTTCTTTCCTGGCTAGAATGCTATTTTGTATTCAGTCTTTCCTTCCTTTTTTCCATTTCCTTCACCTCAAATTCCCCATCTATCATGGAGTGAACACTTTATTTTCCCTTTAATGAGAGTCATAGTACATAACATTGTGTCAGGACCTACTACTAAAGCACTTGCATCAACACATAGGGTGAAATAATTTAAAGAGTCTATTTTCCCTGAACCTGCCAGTTCAAACCCCCTGAAAAATCTTTGAAATTAAAGATATCTGCCATCATTGAAGAGCAACTATTCTTTATTTTTGAGAACTTAAAAGAAATGGGGATGTTATATTGGAATTAGACTAAGTCTATTTCTGGTATACAATCCTGATAAAAATCTGAGGTGACAGGTCAGTGAGATGGTTTACTTAACGGGTAAAGGCATTTACTGCTGCCAGGCATGGTACATGCACCCTCAGAGATACACATATATACTTCCATATACAATGCGGGCATTGCACGGCATAGGTGCACTCACCTACATGCAGGTAATACATGCATACACATAAATTAAAAAAAAACATAAAACAAAAAACTGAGGTGTTCTTGTAATCAAATAAATACAAAAGTTACCAGAGCTCCTTTACCACTCATTCCTTTTCTTTTTTGGTCTTTTTGAGATAGGGTCTCCCTGCAGCCCCAACTGTCCTGGAACTATGTAGACCAGGCTGGCCTTGAACTCACAGAGATCCACCTGCCTCTGCCTCCTGAGTGCTGGGACTAAAGGTGTGCGCCACCATGCCCAGGTACTCATTGTTTCCCCAACAGTATGTTGTTTCAATTTTTTAAGAGTTCCCAGATACCTCCTCTGTGTAATATGTAACCTTATTAATAAAAATAAAAAAACTTAAATCTACAAATTAACACTTCAGTCTTCCTGTAGTTGATAGAAAACCTGAAAAGTATCAGGTCAAGATGTGTGCTGGTTAGTTTTTGTTGTCAACGTGACACAAACCTAGAGTCACCCGAGAAGAGGGAACCTTAATTGAAGAATTTCCTTGATCAGATTCTTCTGTGACCATGTCTGTGAGAGAATTTTGACAAATGGTTGAAGTTGGAGGGCCCAACCCACTGTGCTTAACCCCATCCCTAAACAGGTAGGCTAAAAAGGCTAGCTAAGCATGAGCCAGAGTACAAGACAGTAAGCAGCCTTCTTCCATTTCTGTCTCAGTTCATGCTTGAGCCCTTACCTGATTTCCCTCACTGATGGATTATGACCTTGAAGTATGAGCCAGCAAAATAAACTGTTTCCTCCCCTAGCTGTTTTTTTTTTAAGTAATTAATTTTTGTGTATGAGTATTTGCCTGAAATGTATGTATGCATACCATGTTTGTTCCTGGTGCCCAGGGAGGCAGGAAGATGGTGCCAGATCCCCTAAAACTGGAATTACAAATGGCTGTGAGTTTCCATGGGGGTGCTGGGAACTGAACCTGGGTCCTCTGCAAAAGCAGCAAGTGCTCTTAATCACTGAGTCATCTCTCCAAGTTGCTTTTGGCCATTTTGTCTATCACAACAAGATAAAACAAACTAGAACAAGAAGAATGTTTTACAACTAAATTAGAAAATCACTGAAACTGCCAGGCATGGTGGTACATGCCTTTAATCCCAGCACTCAAAAAACAGAGGCAGGTGGATCCCTATGAGATCCAAGCCAGTCAGATCTATATAGCTTAGTGAGTTCTAGGCCAACTGGGGCTACAACTTTATATCAAAGGGGGAAAACAAAATCATTGAAATCTTATAGTATGCAGCTAAAATAATGAATTGAAATACTTTTCAAGATGCCTTGAAGAAAGAAACATTATTTATTATAGTGGAGATCTCCTGGAGAGCTTTGTTCTCCTTTAAAATACTACTTTTATTAAAATGTGGAGATAAAAATACCTTCTCTGCCAGTTTCTTGGCTTGAAGCTGAATATCTAGTCTTGATTTGTTATTGTGGTCTTCTAATAAAGAATCCAGGGCAAGCTGGAAATCTGCTACTTCTCTAAAGACACATTGAAATGGAAAAGAGCTTGCTGTTATAAACACATTACTTTTGTAACAAAGACTAATCACTGTAGGTGCTCCATATTACCTTGATTTTAAAAGAAAGTACAAACACCATTAAATTGAAGGCAAAGAAATCAGAAATTATCTTGCATTTACTTATAACATTCTTATTTTTGTTATTGCATAAAATTCTTCTAAGTGTAATTCTAGGATATCTCTGAAATAGGTAGGGATGTCTGGCAAGCTAAACGCCTCTTTTGTAATTCTTCTGCAACTAATAAGCAGACTCCGAAAATCCCAGGTCTACTGATCTCTATTACATACTTCCTCTCATACTCCAAATGTTTGCTTATTACTGTCCAAATAACAAAAGTGTATTTTAATGGCTATAATTTGAGTTTCAACAATAGAGAAAAAAATGTTATTTTTAACACTAAGTTGTTTGGTGAAAAAGAAACATAGCTATTTTTACTTTTCATTGAGTTGATAGTTAAACAATGTAGATCTACAATGTTAACCAGAGAGGGAAAAAATCATTTTAATGATGAGAGAAGCTATCTGTAAGAAAGAAGACAGGGAATAGGACTAAAGAAATATATACCAGTCATCAGAACAGTATTTGCAGTGGTTCATCACTTAAAAAAAAAAAAGAAAAAGAAAAAAAGAAATCAACAAGAATAAAACAAAACAAAACAATTTGGAGATCTGACACTATAGAGGGTGATGGCACTAAAGAGTGGCTCACCATATTTAGTATCTATACGAGTTTTTCTGTTCATGTAATAATTCAAGGTACACAAATATTTCAATCAACATACAAATATCTGCACAACTATGTACTCTAACATTTTCTGATGTTCAATAAACTAGAAAAGAGAGCTAAGTATACCATAATACCACTGTGTGTCTAGCCCATGTGTCACTCACATAAAAGGATATATTCTGGAGGGGCACAATACTTACATACATGTACATAAAATACTCATAAAGCAATTAATTTAACAAAACATGAAAAACATACAAAGGAGGACAAAAACAACAAACACACAAAGACTTTAAAAAATATTATTGCTTTTTAATTTTATGTGTATGAATGTATAGCCTGCATGTATGTAAGTGCAACCAAGTGCAATGGCTGTAGAGGTCAGAAGAGGGTAATGAATTCCCCTGGAACTGGAGTTACAGATGGTTGTTAGCTACCATGTGGGTGCTGGGAATTGAACTCTGGTCCTCTGCAAGAGCAGCCAGTGCTCTTAACCACTGAGCCATCTCTCCAACCCCACAAAGACTTTTAAAAGCCAAAGAAATAAAAGTAAACTAGATGTAGCAAGAGCCCTAATACTAATGGAAATGAGAGAGATTTGAATATAACAAAGGGTAAGTTATAGTCTCTTAAAATACGGCTAAGATATTTCATAAAGGACTTAGTATGACCACAGGCTTACAGCATTGCTCTCAAATATTCAGGAAAACTAAAAAAGTGACCATGAGTTTCTAAAGAGAGTTTTTTTTTTAATTATGAATATCAACAGACATCTACAATTTTATTTTCAACATGGAAAATTTATATGATTTCAATGGAATCAAAACATTTCCATTATTCAGTGGCAGGGAACAGAAAATAAACCCACCTTTTTAGTCTATTCATAATGATTTAACACCAATGTTTTGAACCAAGAATACTGAAAACAACCAGGTATAATGGCACACACCATCAGAGGCAGAGGTGGGGTATCTCTGTGGGACTGAGGCCAGCTTGGTCTACACAGCGAGTTCTAGGCCAGTCAGGGCTACATAGTGGACCTTGTCTCAAAAATCTAAAAGAAAAACATTGAAAACATATATTCTGATATTATGTACAGGGTTACCCCTCAGTAAGAAAGGTATATAAGAAAAGGAAGTGGTTCAGGGAAGTAAAGAAGATTAACCAGACTCTATTTCCCAGTTCTCCTTCTTGGGAGCTTTAAATCATGCAAGGAATTTTTGCTTTATCTATTTAGAGGTGATTCTTCTGTATGATGAACTATGTCTAAAAACTATGAAACGGGCTGGAGAGATGGCTCAGCGGTTAAGAACACTCACTGTTCTTGCAAAAGACCAAGGTTCGGATCCCAGCACTCACATGGAAGCTAACAACTGTCTCTAACTCCAGTTCCAGGGGATCTGACAGCCTCTTCTGTCCTCCACGGGCAATGGATGACACGGGTATACTTACCTACGTGCAGGCAATACATGCATACACATAAAATAAAAATAATAAATAAAATATATAAACAAAACAAAAAACTATGAAACTGAAGCTGGGCATGGTGGGGCACGCCTTTAATCCCCTCACTTGGGAGCCAGAGACAGGCGGACCTCTGCGAGTTCAAGGCCAGCCTGGTCTACAAAGTGCCAGGCCAGCTGGGGCTACAGGGAGACTCTGTCTCAAAAATACCAAACAAACAAACAAAAAAACCTATGAAAGTGTAAACAGTCAAAATGTCCATCAACAGTAGGACATTATATTAGAAAAAAAGAATGACATAGGGGAAAATGTCCTGAATTTTCTTAACTAGATTACCCGTTTCACTTTTTTTTTTAAAACAGTAAGTTAGGGGGAAAAATAAACCTTTTAAAAAATGTTAACATCTAGGTTTCGAAAACTAGTAGCAACATTATCTAATGTGGGAGAAGAGGATGGATAAAGGTATAGGAGAAACAAAGCTGGTCCTGTGCAGAAAGATAATACTGGTTGATGAGCACACAGGATTCTTTAAAGTGGTTTCTTGATTTAAAAAAAAACTAACTAAAAACAGTAAAAGCAATAGCTATTTTCCTACTACTTATGAGGCAATGCTATAATGCTGCCTAGTATGAAATCTATAAACTTGAGTGCTACTGGCTTATTTAAAAAAAAAAAAAAAAAAGGTTAATTCTGCCAAGTAGTTTTGAAGGAATTTCCCACTAGCTGAAAATATAATTGAATTAGCAGACTTTCATATGAAGTGATTCATTACTAAATGATACACATTAATAAAAGTAGTATTAGGGCTGGAGAGATGGCTCAGTTGGTAGGAGCACTGGCTGCTCGTGCAGAAGACCAGGGTTCAATTCTCAGCACCCACATGACAATGAACAGCTGCCCATAACTCCAGTTCCAGGAAATCTGACACCCTCTTCTGACCTCCAAGGATACTGCATGGCATGGGTGAACTTACATGCATGCAATACACTCATACACACAAAATTAAAAAAAAAAAAAATAGTATGTCGAGCCAGGTGTGGTGGCACATATTTATAATACCTGCACTTGGGTAGGGTTACAGGCCAGTTGGTAGTAACACCCTGTCTCACAACCCAAAAACAAAATGAGAAAACAATCTCTACTGTTCTTACCCTTTTTTTTTCTTTGTCTTATGTAGGCTAAGTATATATCCTACCATTGAGCTATACCTCAGCCCCAGGCATTTTAATACAAGTATATAATGTTTAATGATTAGATCAGGTTAAGTGTCCTAACACCTCAAATACTTATATTTGTGGTGGAAGCTGAAATATGTTTGTATCATTGTGGTGGTGCATGCCTTTAGTCCCAGCACTTGGGAGGGAAAGGCAGGCGGATCTCTGTGAGCTCAAGGCCAGCCTGGTCTACATAGTAAGTTACACGACAGCTGGGGCTACACGGAGACCCTGTCTCAAAAAGACCAAAAAAAAAAAAAAAAAAAAAAAATTCAATCATATGCACTGCCTGATATTTATGTATTTTTTCATGTATAGAATTTTTATAGTGGTCTAATTAATTTTAGTCATTTTCTTTTTCCCCACCCTTTTTGAAATAAAGTCTCAGCTGGCCTGGAACTCAATATGTAGATCAGGCTGTCTTCAGTCTCACCTGTCTCTGCCACCTGAGTGCTGGGATCAACGACATTAGTCACCACACCTGGCCTCACTTTTCTATTTCAATACATGTACCTATACCTAATTTTAATAATGGTCTGATAGATTTTAGTCACTTTTCCATTTCAATACACACGTGTTAATTTTCCATGTAAGCCACACTCTGCATTCTTTTAGCAAGCTGGTGATTACTGTTGTTATTCATTTATTCAAAAATTTTTAAAAAATTTATTCTCAGGTACTAGGTATTAAACCCAGAGCCTTGCACATGTTAAGCAAATGCTTTACTGCTGAGCACTGCTGTAATCCTCGGTATCTCTACATGTTCAGGTTATTATTTCTTAATTCTCTTGGTACTTAATAGCCTTCTGAAATAAAGTAATAAATACAGACTGGTTGGGCTTGGTGTTAATAAAATTATACTATTATTATTAATGTGGAAAAAGTTTCCTTTGGTTTTATGTAACATTAATATACAGAAATTTTTACTTGTAGAACAGAACAATTTTGGAGATATCCTCAATATTTATTTCCTTAGTACTTAGTACTAGATTACTAAAGTAGAAGCGGGTAAGCCAGGCGTGGTGACACACGCCTTTAATCCCAGCATGTGAGAGGCAGAGACAGGCAGATCTCTGTGAGATATAGCCCAGCCTAGTCTACATAGCAAGTTCCACATTATCAGTTGGGACTACACAGAGACCATGTCTCCAAAAAAAAAAAAAAAAAAAAAAACAAAACTGTAGAAGCAGGCAAAGAAAATCCTAACCAAAAGATAGGCCAAGATAGTCTAGCTTATTAAAGACTTTAGAAGTAAAATTAAAACTAAGACATCCCTCTTATATAGAATGTCACATATTTTAGGAAACAACTAATTTGGGAGGGCACATGGATTTACAAGGAATTGTACTTGCCTCTGCTCTGGGATTCTAATATTAAAAAAGTTGCAGTACACTGTTTAAAAGGTGTTCTCTAGTCTGTGTCTTCCTTTTCTATGTATTTCTTTTCCTTATCTTGAAAAAAGGACTATTCACTCCTCTCATCTGAAAGCTTTGACAAAATTAAAGGAACAAAGAACATACTGGTACTGATAATTTTATGTTTCCATGTTTCAAAACCTTAGAGCTGAAAGTCTATGTGGAAAATTTCTAATTAACTGGTAAGAGTACAGTCATCCTTTGGTATGTGCAGGTGACTGATTCCAAGACATCCTGGAGATATCAAAATCTGCAGATGCTCAAGGCCTCTTGAATGAAATAGTGAACTATTACATCCTACACCTTATTTTTATATTTTCAATCACCTCTATATTTCTGTAATACCTAATATAATGTAAATGCTATATAGGTAGTTGTATTGTTTTGGAAATAATATGAAAAAAAATCTGTTCATGTTTAGCGCAAATGCAACTTCTCTGAATATTTTTTGAGCCTGCAGCCAATAGGCTGTACGTCCATGGGTAGACTATTTTATCCAAGCACTGTACCAAAAATGATAGTAAGTTATCAGTTGGGATGACCAGATGGAAAAGGAGATAGATATTTCCCTGCACCCAAGAAAACAATGTGAATTTTATATAGCCCTAAACAATAGTTGTATATCACCTGGAAATTTTCAAATGAAAACTCACATAAAGAAAAAAAAAACAAAAAAACTGGAAAATATATATGGTAACAACAGCATCCAAGTATCAGATGATTATATGATCTTCAATATGCCTTCAAAAATCCTGAGATTATAACCACAATCTTGGCTGTTTTGTTGTACAATTATACTTGAACTTCATTCCCAAATAGTGACATAATTATCATTACTAGCGTAAGTAAACATAAAATTAACAAGGGGACTGGAGAGAGAGCTTAGGGTTAAGAGCATTGGCTGCTCTTGCAGAGGACTCAGGCTTGGGTCCTAGCATCCACATGGTGGCTGACAACCATCCATGACTCCAGTTCCAGGGGATCTGACACCCTCTTCTGGCTTCCATGGGCATTGTATTCATGTGGTACACTTACATACATACAGGCAAAATAGTCATACACATAAAAAATACAAGTAAATTTAAAGTTGACAAAAAAATTAACAAAAGAATATTATTGGTCATATCAGAATACCTAAAACAGAAACTGTAATTTTATTAAGTCAATTGGAATAAGCTGAATAAAATGAATCATACGGTATATCATTTTTTGAGGCAGGGTCTCTCTGTAGCTCCAGCTGGTCTAGAACTCATTATGTAGCCCAGCTTGGCCTTGATCTCACAGAGATTCACCTCCTACTCCTGCCTCCTGAGTGCTAGGATTAAAGGTATGGACCACCAAGTCCAGCCTTGTATCTTAACTTCAAGGACTATTCTGTAAATTGCAGAGTAAAAAATTTTTCTGAATTAATAAATTAAACAAGTTCAGATTATTACAAATATACTTAACTCTTTTTTGGATATGGGAACTGCAGATATTGACTTGATCAAGCTGTCTGCTGGACGATCCAATACTCTGGAAAGCTAAAAATCAAAAAGAAGAAAATAGGGCAAAATTGATATATTTGTTCCAGAGTGAACAGAATACTACTAGCAATAAGTAATTGACACACTTAACACCACCAATGAAGCTTGAATACATCGAGCTAAGTAAAAGCCAAATTCATATAGTGTGATCTGACTTATCTGAAAACCCCAAACTATAAGAATGAAGTAAAAACTTGTGGTTGTCAAGGACTGCAGGTGAAGGAAAGATTTGACTATAAAGCAGCAAACAGGACTGCTTGCCTTTAAATAAATTTTATTTTTGTAAATTTAATTTTTTTTAAATGTATGGAAAGAGAATGCATGAGAATTAAATGAACATGAGAATGCAAGGCTAATTTTCATTTTTAAAAAATTGAGTGGCTAGTGTGCACCAGGCAGTGTTCTAGGTATTGAGGATATTACAAAGAGTGAACAAAACAAAGATCTTATAGCACTTCACAGTAAGCAAGTAAATACTAGGGAAAAATTTAATTGCCATCCCCTAATGGGTTACTTATCAGAACAGCAGGAGTGAAAAAAACAGAAAATAAACAAAACCCACAACAAAGGGCATAGCTGTAGTTGAACGGTAGAACACCAATCACTTGCCTAGCATGCTCACGGCCCTGGTTTGATCCCTAGCACACACACACAAATAAAACAAAAAAATAAGAAGGAACAAGTGTATTTATATCTCTAAGAAGCTTCTTTTGTGATTGTGGCACACAGCCAAAGTTGCAAACATTATAGCACCCTAACCAGATATTGGCAAAGATGCAGACAGGAAAGAAAGCAGAGACACTGATTCTCCAGCAGTAACTACACAAAGAGCGTGTCAAAGCTCAGAGTCTAAACTTCCAAGGTGACAGTGAAGAAAAGATCTATACCCAACAAAACCCAAGGAAAGTAAGAGTATTCACAGATATATAGCTTGGTCTCCTCAAAAGCAAGATCTAAGAAAAGAACTTGGGTACAGGCAATTCACTTGAGAGGTGATTGCTAAGAACAGAGATGACAGACTGAAAAGAATGAGAAGAAAGGGAAAAGTTTAATATAGTCCCAGCACTGGGGAGGCAGAGGCAGGTGGATTTCTCTGAGATTGAGGCCAGCCTAGTCTATGTAGTGAGTTCCAGGCCAGCTGGAGCTATAGGGAGAGACCCTGTCTCAACAAAACAAAACAAAGTAAGATTGCATCATCAGGGCTGGGACATGGCTCAGTGGTAAAGAGTTTGTCACAAGGACCTGAGTTTGGATCACCAGAACTTATGAAAAAGCTGGGCACGGTGGCACACATCTGTAACCCCCAGCGCTGGTTGATGCTGGGAGACTGACTATTAGGGTTAAAAGTAATGTTCAAACAGCAAGGTCTGAAATGTTAGGAATAAGAAATAAAAGGGCTTTCAGTTGGGTATGAACTGACTGAGCTGACCAAATAAAAAGGGGGAAAGGGTTCCAAGCCAGTGTCAGCAAGCCAAATGACTTCCCTAAAGCCCCCTTCACAACACATGCAAGACATTTGCCCTTTCATGTATCTTACTTTTTTTTTCTTTTTTCGGTTTTATTTTGTTTTGGTCTTTTTGATAGTCTCCTTGTAGCCCCAGCTGGCCTGGAACTTGCTATAGAGACCAGGCCGGCCTTAAACTCATGGAGAACCACCTGCCTCAGCCTCTGGAAGTGCAGGGATTAAAACGTTCCCAACCACACCCAGCTCATGTATCTTGCTTTTAATGTATGTAAACTAAATGTAACAGACTAAATTATAAGTAAGGAAAGCTTCTACCTATTGCAGGAAGGAGATCACCTCAGGGGAAGCACAACTGTGGAATCTCCTCTATCATACTGTCCTGTTCACTATAGGCTTGGATTGTATAAGTAGCTGTACAAGTCACAGAAAGCAAGCCAGTAAGTGTTCCTCCATGGTCTCTCTTTTGGTTCCTACCTTTGCTTCCATGGATGACAAACTGTAAACTGTAAAATCAAATAAAACCTTTCCTCCCCAAGCTGCTTTCAGTCATGGTGTTTATCACAGTAACAGAAACCAAACTAGGACAGTAGCTACGATAGGTGTTAGCTCCCCACCACGGTAAAACTACAAATTGGTCATGTCAATGTGAGAACAAAGAGAGAACAGTCTAATTTAAGGACATGCAGACTCCATCAAGGGCTAAGGCCAGCAACACCTGCAAGGTTCACAGACTAGCAATGCCTTCCCCAGATAAAGACCAGAAGTTAATATCAACAGCTAGGAAGGGAGAACAGCGAGGAAGGGAGAGATGGAGAGAAGGGGCTTCAAAGTGTGACCACTCCCCTAACTGAGCAAGCGGTGCATAATAGTGTATGATCATCCATGTTGTGTCAGGGGAACATGCATAGACTGTGTGGACCCTCCACTGGGTCAACTTGTGACATACACAGAATTAACCAATTTCAATAGACATGATCTACTCTTTGTCCAGTTTCTGCTGTAAGTCCTATAAAAAAAAACCCTAGATAAACCAACAGGTTCCCCCCTCCCCCACTGAGGGCCCTCTATAGAGATTGCTTTCCTGAGTTCTGCTTTCTGTAATAGATCTTTAATCTGTTTGAATTTCATCATCCAAGTTCAAAAGACAAGGATTCAGAATGTAGCCAAAGATTCTTCACACTCAAGGACACCTCTTTTCCCATTTCTGTAGGGGTGGGGTAGAGAGACAGGCAGATCTCTCGAGCTGCTGGGCCAGCCAAACTAGCTGAATGAGTAAACTTCAGGTTCAGTGAGAGAACTTGTCTCAAAAAATAAGGTGGACAGTGACTGAGAAAGACACTCAACCTCTGGTCTCTACATGTAGGAATACACACAGACAACTGTACATCAAGGTCACTGCTATAGGCAAAGGGGCTTAATTTTCATAGTACTGTTTAAGAAGGAAATGCCCACACTGGGCCCAAGTCTGTATTAGCACCAGCAAATTTCAGGTGGGATAAGCTGCTGTTAACAATGAGTAAACAGAAGCACAGATGAAACTGTTCACACAAGTGGCAAGTGCAATCAGAAGCAGAGGAATGAAGGTGACGGGAGATAAGACATATTCAATGAAAGGAACCACGTCCCTGAAATAAAGACTCAAATCTAAATCTTGGTATATTAAGGCAATGGTATACCATTCAGCAGTAAATATCAGAGTATATTTCTATGCAAAAAGTAAAAAACCCAAATTACAGAAAAATACTTATAATTTGATACCATTTCTAGAATAGTTAATAACTTGGAAAACAATGCTTTGCAAGGGCATAATCACAGGTAACATGTGGCATGCATGTGGCATAAACTTCAGACATTACCTCTTATATGAGCAGAGTTTGAAACCAAGAACAGGTACCCAGGGAACCTTAATAGTATTCATAATATTTTAATTTTAAATCTGGGTGATGGGGCTAGTGAGATGGCTCAGCAGTTAAGAGCACTTGCTGCTTTTGCAGAGATTGGGGTTCAGTTCCCAGCATCCACATGGCAGTTAACAACCATTTATAACTCCAGTTATTGGGGATCCAATGCCCTCTGGTCTCCATGGGCATTGCATGTATGGGTGCACTTACATTACATGCAGGCAAAACACTCACACACATAATATAAAAAATAAAAAGCTGAGTGGTGGGCATATAGATATTAACTATATTCTATTAGTTAAATATTTAACTAATGAGTCAGTGAGATGATTCAAGTCTGATGACCTGAGTTCAATGCCTGGGACCTATATGGTAGAAGTAGGAACCAACTCCCACAAGAAGTCCTCTGACTTCCACTAATGTGCCTTCCTCACATATACAAAAACAAAATAAACAAAATTTAATAATAAAAATAAAAAGGCTTGTAAGATGGCTTAGTGGGTAAAATCATTTGCTACCAAGCCTGACAGCCCATGTTCAACTCTCAGGACCAAATGGTGAGATGGGAAGAACTACTCCCTCAAACTGTCCTTTGACCACCACAGGAGTATGATGGCATACATGCCCCTCCCAAATAAATAAAGTTATAATAAAAAAAAATCTAAAAACATTTCAAAAATAAAGTTAAAAAAAAAAAAAAAAACACAAGGCCAGGCATGCTAGTGCAGGCCTGTGGGGGTCCCAACACTTGGGAGGCAGAGGTAGGCGGATCTCTGTGAGTTCAAGGCTAGTCTGGTCTACATACTGAGTTCAGGGCCAGCTGAGGCTACAGGGAGACCCTGTTTCAAATAATAATAATAATAATAATAATAAATATAGTACAGGGATAGGCCCCTCTTTTGAAGCTGCTGCCAGTGTGTGTGCTAGACCCTCAAACAATACTGGTCATTGCCCCTGCTCTTGGTTACCCACCAGAACAGGTGCACTTACACACATGCAGACAATATACTCATACACATAAAATAAAAACAATAACAAAATAAAAAAAAAAGAAATCAAGCTTATAGTGATGTCAAAGTTTCATCGCTACTGTCTAACTTCCAGTGCTATGCATGCTATTGGAAGAAAAAAGCAATGATCATTAACCTTACTCAGCTGTGACTCCTGCATACTTCAACAACTGTCCTTGCAAGAGCTGACCTCTCATACAACTGTGGCATGGATATTATGGGAACAACCTATCATTTTCTAATTGGGTCCACTTCATAAGATAGAGCCCACATCTGACATTGATATCAGACAAGCCACAGGCCATAGGGAAGAGTCCAATACTATTATTCTTCTAAATAGATAAAGTATTAAGGGAACTCTAACAACTTACTGCTATACCCATAGATTAATGGACCCCTCAATTCTCACCAGAGAAGCCTCCTCATGCAGCAAATGGTGTTTCCTGGGCATTGGGTCTCATCAAGTACTAACAAAAGTATTAAATGTCTACCCATACCCATAATTAACTACTTGAGAAGCCATCCTGTAGAACAGTTTTACAGGATATAGTAAAAGAGTACTCCATGAAAGAAAATTTTACAGACTACAACCGAGGGAGGAACACTGATTTCTGTAGGGCCTAATCACACCCCAAAGATACTCTGCCCAGGCTAAAGCAAGCAAAACTGTGGGTGGAGGAGTGGAGCGAGGGAAGCACCGAAGTACTCTCGAAGGATTCTCCCAACACCCGGCTTCTAACACAGCTCGCCTCCGCAGACCCGAGAGGCAGAAGGCAACGGCAGAATCGCCCAGGCTAGGGAGGATGTTTTACAGCCCCGGCTGCTTCAACTAAATCCACCGGGCCGCACCGGTCCGGAAGGTACCTGACTGGCGATCAACCTGCGGAACCCACACGCCATGCCGGACTACCCAGTCCTCCGGAAGCCCCGCCTCCGCGCCGGAAGCCCCGCCTTAGCGAGGGAGGCAGGCCAATCATGGAGCCGTAGCTCATACCCTTTGCCCTGCAGCCGCGAGGGCGGGCGGAAGTTTTCAGTGCGCATGTACGTGCCGGCCGGGGATATGGCCACCTCCTCGGTGTCCAAGGTAGGTGGGGGTGGCGCTCGCCAGGGCTCCGCTATGTCTCTGGGAGGCGCGGCGAGGCGCGGGTTTAGTGGGCCTGGGCTCCAGCTCCGGGAGGAGCGGCGGGTAGACTCGGGAGGCTTTGCCCGGCTCCACTTTCGAGGCCAACTTTGCTTGAGCTGCTGGGCCGCGGATCTGTGTTGCGCCGAGTCTAGAAAGGTTTATAAGTTCTTATTTGTGGAGGCCGACTTCCGTAAGGATATGTCGCATCATTTTCTCCTCATGAGTAGTTTCTGTGAGTTTTACTTCATTAGGTACCCCAATAAAAAGGTAAAAAGTAGACTTACTCAAACACAATAAGGTGATGATCACGAATTGCGATAAATAGGATCAAGGGCATAAGTTCATCGTGAGAGAAAAGAAAGAACAAAGTGTAGATTGTTAGGGGATCAGCGAAGGATTTTGGAGAAAGTGACAATTTGATTAAGAACTGAAATGAGAAACTTGACATTCACGTGGACGAGCACAGAGAATAAGTTCTTTGCCGTAGAATGTAGAAATAAAGTGGCATCGTGAAGAAATTGAAAAAAATCAGTATAACCAGAGAGTGGGGACAGGTTAGGAGCATTAGGAAAAACGAGAATAAAAAAGTAATGCAGATGAATGTTTGCGTTGGGAAGCCCTAATAGGACATTTCATATGGAGTGCCCACATGACCTACATGCAAAGAACTGCAAGTTAAAATGCAGTTTGTAAGAAGAGAAGTCCCAGAGTAATATCCGATGTGGTATTCACTAGCTGGGCAAATAAAATAGAAAGTAAAATAGAAAATTAAGCACTAGCCACAGTTCAAGCACATCAGGCAGCAAATGCTTGACATTTCCATTACAGAAAGTTCTACTGGAACTACTGTTCTGTGACATGTTTGTATGTTTTTGTTGTGTTCTTTTTGAGACAGGGTCTCCCTGTAGCCCCCACCTGGCATGGAACTTGCTATGTAGACCAAGCTGGCCTTGTGCTAGGATTAAAGGTGCAAGCGACCTGGCCTGGCTGGATTGTCGTTTTTTATAAGAGATTATTAGAAGAGCAGTCAGTCTGATAGACAGCAACTGGCTGGGGCTGTGGAAAGAGATGAGGCCCATGTGGCAGAGTGGGAGGCCCTTAGAGTTTTTACAGGAGGAGGGATTCAAAAGATAGTAAAAAGTTTTCTTTTTCGGCCTACAGTTGGTGGTTGATAGAGGTAACCAGGGAGTACTCAGTTAAAGAATGTTAGGTGATTGATAAACGTCTTTTCTGGTCCACCATTACTGTGTGTGTTGGGGGGGGGGTGGCATTTATGGAGCAGGGAAGACAGGAATTTAGAGAAACAAGCTACTTAAGTTCAGAAACCAAATTACCTTAGTTACAGCAATTGTCACAACTTCACCAAAATGGAGGAGCTTTAAAAATGTTTTGACCTTGGCTAAGCTACAACCATTCTTGTATTAAAGCAGTGAAAATGATGAAAGCTAATGGATCAAGTGTCTTAATTTTGACTAAAATGGTCTGTGTCAAAAAAAAATACTGTGTGGGCCCAATCTTGTCCTGAGGTGTTCCTAGTTCTCTCAGAGCTTCATGAACTCTATTCTATTCCACTCTGATGGCATCAATCTGTGCCCCTGTGTTGCTTGCAACATTTGTGGGGGAGACATTGAAAGGTCATTGTTTTCATCATTATCATTGACACGTCTCACATATACAACCTTTGTTCTGAATATCAGGGGCATTACTGATTCTCACATAGGGAACATGGTATAAGATTAGGCACTCAGCTTCTAAGATTGAATTATATCCAGACTCCTAATCATTGTAGGACTGGTTACATTGTGTTTCTTAGAAGGAATATATAGTTCTAAATGCTGTCAAAACATGATTACATTCTTATGTAAAATTTAAATTTGTAAAGGCTTGTTACAAAGAGTCTCCCAGGGACTGGAGAGATGGTTCAGTAGTTAAGAGCACTGGTTAATCTGGGTTTGATTCCCAGCTAACAAATGCTAAACAGCCATCCATAACTCCAGTTCCAGGGGATCTGACACCCTCTCTGACTTCCACAGGCATTGCACAACAGGGATTCACTTACATACATGCAGACAGACAGTAAATTCATACACATAAAATGAAAATAATAAAACATTTAAAACAAACAAAAAAAGAGTCTCCCAGAAAAGTCATTCCTACAGATACTCTCCAAGGCTTCATATCAAAGAGAAAAAGCAAGCCTGATGATTTAACATTTTAAAAGAAAGCCTGTGATGCTAGCTAAATAAATAAAATTAACTTTTTTGGGTGTTTTTTTGAGACAGGGTCTCCCTGTAGCCCCAGCTGGCCTAGAACTTGATATGTAGACCAGGCTGGGCTTGATCTCACAGGTATTTGCCTGCCTCTGCCTCCCAAGTGCTGGGACTAAAGGTGTATACTACACACAACTCCTGACTTGTACTAGCTTTTTGTTTTTTTGTTAGTTTTGGTTTTTTATTTTTTTGGTTTATTGAGACAAGGTCTCCTTATAGTCCCAGCTGGCCTGGAATGCTCTCAAAGAGATCTGCCTGCCTCTGCCTCTGCCTCTGCCTCTGAAATGCTTGAATTAAAGGTGTGGGCTAACATGCCTGGCTTGTATTAGTGTTTTTATTAGGATTATTGCTATTGTTGTTTTCTCTTAGTTACAAAGCTCCAGGTGTTTTAAGTGTCCTGTCTCCTAGTCCTGTTTGTTGCATATTTCCTCCCACCTCACTTCCCAACCCTAGACCTCTTATTTCTGTGAAACTTAAAATGAGAAATTATTTTCAGAAAAGCTTTTTTATTTATGTATTTATTTTTGCATTATACTGGAAATCTGTGTTGATGGATGATTATAAAGTAGACCTTACATAAATAAGAACCTTTAAGGACCATTTCAGGAATTCATGGAACTGCTTTTTTTTTTTTCTTCCCCTTAAAC